TCTCTTTCCTGCTTCTGTCATGACAAGAGACAGGTTCATGGCAATCAGCAGAGCTGTACACTTGAGCGACCCAGACCGCGATTTGGCAAATGACCGGAAAAAGGAAACCCCAGAGATGGCTCAGAGAGAAGGAGCTTTTGTTTGTGAAGTGGATGGATACGAGAGAGGTGTCAGTGTGCTCTACAATACACCAAGCCTTCAATGGAGACACTGTCACCAGGAACGTGTATGCTAAGGAAACGGGGAAATGGCAAAAAGAAAACATCATGGCACTTCGTTGTGTGGTTGAATATAATAAATACATGGGTGGGGAGGACTTGTCTGACCAGCTCATCCAATACTATTCAGTGCACAAGAGGTCCAACGGGTGGTACAGGACACTGCTGTACCACTGTATAGACATTGCTGCAACCAACAGCTATATTCTGCACAAGGAGATGTGTCTGTCCCACGCCCAGTTCATGGAGGAGCTGTCTGTAGAGCTGTGTGGAGTCCCAATTGGCAGCTTTGTGCCACCCAGAGGGGCACAGTGCTTGCCAGAGTCAATGTCCGGTGCAGACGAGGAGGAGGAGGAAGAGGGAATTGACTCATTTGCGAGACAGAGGTCAGGAGGCACGGCAACAAAAGGTCGGCGAAAATGTGTGCTCTGCAAAAAACGTTCCATCTGGAAATGTGCGCGGTGTGATGTGACACTGTGTCTTGTGGCTCACAGAAATTGCTTCAGCAAGTGGCATAGCAGCCGCACGTAAAACCTTAAGACTTTCGATTGACTGAATCAAGTCTGATTGTAATTTAATGTAAATAATTTAAAAAATGTTGATACATTTCCTTTGCTCTTTGTATATTTTTCTAATATTTTGTTTATAGTTTGAAGATCATTTGCTCTTTGTACATTTGCACTTACTATATATTTCTAGCTCTTTGTTTGTAGTTTGAAGATAATTTGCACTTTCTATATATAAAAACTCTCAACTAATGGCCTATTACTTGTAGAATATGGTCATGTAGAATAAGGCATTAATACGTGTTTTATAATGACTAATAAAGAGCCAATATACTGCTAATATGCATGTTAATGAACAACTAGTTGATGGTGAATTTGTGTACCTTAAGATAAAGTGTTACCGTGTGACTATATGTTTCTTAAACATTGTTATTTTACCATGAACACCAACCTGAAGGTGTTTGCCCTCACACTTTTTATGAATGAGCTTTACCGCTCACAGCTGTCTGACAGCAATAAAATCTCCTAGCGGCCGCACAAAAAGGCACAGTAAAGCCTAAGTAGAGCAGATAATGTGGCTGTATTTTGTTGTCTTGTTTATTTTCAAGCTATTTTTTTTATAAGCGGAAACCTGTTTTGCTGTGAATTTACGGACAATCAAAATGTTAAAATCAGTGTTGTATATGTTTTCGTTTAGAGTTTTGTAGTAGAGCTTACATGCTGACATCTAAAAAGGATATAAAGCCCACAGTTGTGAAAAATAAATTATAGAGCTTACTCAACTTTCAGAAGTTTGATGCATTATTATAACTAGAGTATCAATAGCATAGGAACACAGTAATTACCAATGGTATACATACCCCAGCTGCCTACACCACCAGTCTATAAATACAAGATGACGCACTGCAGAATATATTTTTCATTTCTTCTCTTCAGTTAGTCTCAGAAATAATAGGCAAATGCTTGAATAGGAGGCTTGGCTGCATCCACAGGCAAAACATGTCAAACAATCCAACAACATTATGATATGTGTTGGTAATATTTGTGAAATGCATTTATATAACTCAACCTTCATTGAGTTACAATGACTTATGGAAGTCTGTAATGTGTTTTGCATCTCCAAAGTTAATTTGCCTCTCTAAATGTGAACAAATCGCCCACTGCTGGTACCATTAGACACAGAGAAGGGATTTATTCTCTCTGTATGTGGGCATGTACATCTCACTGTAGCCTCCGGTGAGTCATATTCTGACACATCTGGTTAAATATGTTCAGAAAGAACTAGAGAGGGTTTAGGTTCAAGATGAAGAAAGTGTAAAAACTTAAGAAATACAAATATTTTCTTTAGCCTGGTTTGAATACAGTAATAAATGAAAAGTGCATTTCTGAGGTTATTTATTTGTTTTGTTGGTTCATATACTGTCTGTGCACTGTGCATACATATGGTGTTGAGTGGGTGGCTGCAGCAGGCTTCTCCAGTTTCTATGGTTTAATGAATTATTCAAAGATTTTCCTCATCTTTGAATCACTTTGTGATAATGTGTCCATGAAGCCAATACTCATTTTGAATATTTGCCATGGTTTAAGAACAACAGAGTTCAACCTGATGACTTGTGTTTCTGAATAATACATAAAAGATTGGAGTGAGCGCCAAGACAATGTGTAGGACACATATTAGTCTAATATGCCTTTATATCTGAAAGTAAAGTAGTGGAGGTCTTTGTGAAATACTTTTTAAATATTCCATATACGACGATATTGAAGTTCTCCTTCTAACGATAATGCTCTTGTAAAAAATATATATATACAAAATGATCCTTAAAAAGAAAGCTAAAGACAGAGACACGCATTTATAGTTATACATCTAAATATGTACGTTTATATTTGTTGCGCTTGCGGAAGCCCTTTTGATCTGGGGTTGATCGCTCACCGTGGTAGGAGTTTTGGTCCAGCTGCTCTTTTTGGTTATGGTTTGTGCCAGAATTGCATATTCTGTTGGATAGTGAGTTTTAAGGATAGAGATGTGTGGTGTTTCCATCCTAAGACCTACTTGGTTATTGCATCTCTTACAAATCACTTTGTTAACATTCTTGTCAAATTGGCCCATTTGCATGCATTTGCTAATAAGAGTGGACTTCTTTTCTGCTGTAGTGAAGGCTACGTGGTTGATTGTGTTCAGCGTCACACATATTCTAGTTTCTTGCTTTTTGCTAGCATACAATATGTTAACGTTTATTTTGTCTACGCTACAACAATGCTGTATGGCATAGTCAAAGCAAGGGAAAGAGGGAGATTGAATAAAGAGCTAAAGAGAACCAAATATTTGTCTGTAATCGTGGCCTCGTAAGGACCATATTTGCAGCCAACCTTTAATCACGTTGGACGATAATCTAGTAGGCTAGCTTCTTGCTAACTTGCTAGCATAGCGCTTACTTGTTTTGATAAGCTACAGTACAACATTGCAGTAGAACATAGACAAAGCAAGGGAAAGAAAGGGACGAAATATCCAATAATATTCATAAAAGATGTCCCATAATAAAATGTATTTCTGATATCACTCTGAACGATAATCTCGTCATATCGCCCAAGTCTCATCTGCACCATTAGCTTGGTGAGGAAGTTTCTACTTTTTCTATTGTGAATTGTATCGCCCTCTCAGTCTCTCATTCATGTTCTCAACACTTTTCTCACAAACCCACGCACACACACACTTCCCCAGCGAACATGGATTTGTGCCACTTTCTATAAGCATGGGGAGTTGGAGCTGAAAGGGGGAAGAGAGACAGACTTACTAAAAGAGAAATAAGCTCTAAAAAATACTCCACCCCTGTCCTCCTTCTCTTGCCATCATTAACTGTGTGTCCTGTTGAGTTTCTTCCTCACTGCTCCTCTGCTGTTTAAAGCCAGTGTGCACACAGCTCCCTACCACACCGGTGCCTTATACTGTTGCGATTTAATCTCAGCTCTACAGCCTGGCTTCTTCTTCTCTCTTACACACACAGTCAAGTTTACAACACACACACAAACACACACACTCTCCATCATCCTCAATTCACTTTCTCCGAGTACTCTTGAGGACACGTCACACTCCCAGGCTTTCTTCACAGCTGTGTATCCTTATTTGTATTGCCTAATTACTGCTAAAAGCATTTCACTTTTGCAAACAAGGCAACACTCGCTCACTTAAATAATCCCACACACTCACACTCACACACCAGCATCTTCCGCTGCTGCTTGCAAACTATGTAACAATGCTGATTCCGAGGCAGAGGATTAAGATAGCGCTGCGTCTCTGGATGCCTGTTCTGATGCTCAGGATCGTAGTGGCTCACACTCTGGTAACGTATGAAGCGCGGTCTCGTGAACTATGTTTACCTGCTTTTTGTAACATAACAAAACAGTGCTTAACTATTTCTGTGCTGTGTTTGCTGCAGGGATCCCCTCTCTCTTCAGATGTGCGTTTTTTTTTTAGGTTTCTGGTGGTTACAGATCTTGTTTCTGAACTACCTGAATAAATGATACTGAACTGGTTAAAACAAAAATAAACGTATCGGGCGTTGTTTCAAAACATTTATTTTAGATGAGTGCAGCAGTTGTGCTTTCATGCAAAAAACTAGTTAAATTATACTGTCAATGAATTTTTCCTATTATACACTCTTGTGAATTTTTTACTTTATTTTTATTCTGCTAGTTTTGGCTTGAAATAGCCTGAACATGTCAGATTTGTTGTGTCCTTAACACTCAGTCGTTCATCAACATCTCTCAAATATTTAAAGTTTGATTTTAAAGTGTCCTTTCATTTAAAGAAACATCTGTCCTGCTCAATATCATTGACATTTATTTTCAATTTACCTTTGTGCTTCAATCAGGGTCTTAAAATGTTTTTTAATTGATCTAACATTATATTATGATGAACCACATATCACTCTTTTTCATCTGTTTATCAACTGTATCTCGTTGAATTTCAGGGAAAGACATTTTTGAATCATTTTCATTCATCTCTAACTTAAGTGGGTTTGATTGGTTTATGAATTGAACCTTATTTTTTCCCTTCGCTATTGAAAGATATAGTCAGATAACATCTGAATAACGTAAATATGACTTTAATGTCAACAGTTTGAACATAATGTTCAGTTCAGAGAGATATTTATTGTATGAAGAAGTGTCCAATCAATGAGATCAACTGTTTTGGTTTATATGGTGATTTAATCACAAAAAAGTCTTCTTTAAACAATTTTGGTCTAAATAGTATCCATTGTGTGTGTTTGTCTCATAGATCCAGGGCTCCATCCGTCCCCATGCCATCATCATCCTGCCGAACAGCGCCGGGACGGAGGTTCTGGTTTGTTACGAAGACGAGGGCGTCTACATCGACACCTACGGACGCATCACCAAGGATACAGTGCTGCAGTGGGGGGAGATGCCTGCGTCTGTCGGTGAGTTTCACTCACACACACACATCATTACAAGGATTGAAACATGCTCTTCAGTTACGGCTGGATGTGTTTTCAGTGGTTTGCTTTCTGAATAACGGACTTCAGATCAGCAGCTTCCCTGAGCGCTGAGAGCCGACCCTGAACCAGTTTCTGTGAGGACAGATTTGGGACACATGGGCTAAAAATAAGATGCTAGTGATTCTGTGTGTATCTGTGTGTGTCTGTGCTGGTGTAGGGAATGACTTTACTCACATACACACTAGGTTCAGGCGATATGGTAAAGCTCTTCAACTGGCCAACAATCGGCAAATGCTGATTGATGCAGGCAGGTTTGAATAAAGTTAGATGAATGAAAAACAACCGTTGATTTGTTTGTGTCATTGATGGTCCGCTACAAATTATGTTATTCACCATGTCCGTTCTTTTCGACCTTCGCTGTGCAGCCCAAAATGTGTCACCATACTGATCTTAAGTTATGTTACCATACATGTCATTTTATTCCACGTGACTCACATCCACTTCAACACCATAGACATGCCTCCAGGAGCAAGTAATGCTCCAGTGTCTTGCTATAATTCCTGTTTTGTTACCAACTACAGTCCAGTTGGTGGCGTATGCACCTCTCACTTGTTTGCCATGAATAAGACGAAAAAGATAAGTAGATGTTTTGTGTGGGGTCATTTGCTTCTACCAACATGAATGCCACTGTCTTTAAAATAAATACCAAGACAGCCAAATTGCGTTTGACTCATGGAGAGCAATAACGGGAAATGTGGAACGGTAACTGTTTTTGTGTTAGACGTATGTTGACCCTCAGTTGTTAACCATGCTTCCTGTGTTTCTCTCTCCCTCTCTCTTTGTCTCCAGCCTACCTCCAGTCCAACCAGGTGATGGGCTGGGGAGAAAAGGCCATAGAGCTGAGGTCAGCGAACACTGGGAACCTGGAGGGAGTCTTCATGCACAAAAAGGCTCAAAAACTCAAGTTCCTGTGTGAGAGGAACGACAAGGTACAAATTCAACTCTATCTAGATATTTACCTCTCAAGTATCTGCTTGAATCTACAACACAGTAAGACATGTATTTTTCTAAATATATTTTTTACATAATTCCTAACGCTGCGCCTCTCTCTTGTTGCAGGTGTTCTTTGCCTCTGTGCAGTCAGGAGGCAGCAGTCAGATTTACTTCATGACTCTGGGACAGAACTCGCTGTTCAACTGGTAACGACTAGATCTGTAACTCTGGGATCGACTGGTGATGTCTTCATTGTTCTGGTGATGCCTTTTTATTTTCGGGGCGACTCATCTCTATGGATAGTTACACCATACAAAGATCAACAAATAGTCTTGGATCCATCTTTCTATTTTGTCTTGGCGGTTCAAACACCGAAGGAATCCATCGCTCCATCTTAGAATACTGAAGCTTGAATCAGCTGCAGCCTCACAAATATCTGGATGTGAAATGTAACGAAAAACGCGCTTTAGTTCACTACCACCCCCCCATTTACGGAAGCATTACAAGGTACAACTAGCAACGTTAGCATCTGTGAAGTGAAGAGCAAACAAAACATTGTTCCCTGGAGGTTTTCCTTGAAGGATCTCTTAAATCAAGACCGTTTGATCCAAACCTACCTGGAAGCAAAACTGGCGGCTTGATTCTGTGGAGACGTCTCATGAACACCAAACCATCATTTTTGTCTCCTGGATCATTTAGCCATTTTCCCATTTCTCTAAAGGCCTCCTCCATATCAGTTACTCTGCTTACTATGTGTACATCAGCTATTTGCTCCTAATTACTTTAACAACATCTCGCTGTGTAAATGGATCCAAACTCTTTTTTTGTTCAATTCAAGTCATGGATTCTTATCTCGTCTTCTACTCTGGTGTTCAGCTGTCAACATGTGTTAAAAGATGGAGTAAACTACAAGAACAAGTCCTTCATCACTCCACGGATATCATCATTCAAAGACTAAATTGGGACCAACATTTGGACAACTATTGTCATTCCAGTTTTGTTGACACTGCTTGCTGTTTTTTTACAGTTTTTCACCAAGATTACAGAAAAACTATTGGCCCAATTTCCATGCAACTTGGGTGAAGCATGTGACAAGGTAGAACATATTTAAATATGTAGTGGATTAAATATAAAAGGGCGGATACACACATTATTGTTAACTGTTTGATCAAATTCCAGGTCCATGAACCAATGTGGTTCTGATACCTCAGCAGTATTATTTATGAAGGCCTTCAGTCATGTTTTCTTTTTCCTGGCTAGAAGCGGATATCAAGAACCCAAACAAATTAGTCCTGAATCTGTGATTTCCATATCCTTTTATTAGACGGTATTATATCATGCACTACCAACTGATATATTATTCAAGGCAGTTTCCTTTTCTCTTGTCTGAGGTGACAGTAAGTCAGTATAACACCCCACACAGCAGAGATTCAATCCTTTCATTTGAACTGAATCCATAGTTTTTAATATTTAGGATTAAATTACTGTTTTGAAGACGTAATTCAATAACTTTTGATTATGTTCTATTGCCAAAAAGACAAGATTTATTTAAAAGAGTTATGATTTCCAAAATTTCCCCAAGAGATTATCTCATGAATTATTCTGCTTCCTTTTTTCTGCAATCATTATGTGTTTGCGTGTAGCTTTTTAAATACAAAATGTTTAACTGCGCTCAAATTAAGTCACATGCAATTGAATTAGAAGGGTGAATTGGCAGCAATCTAACAACACAATGAAGTCATAAAATGTAACGGCAGACATTGAAGTATTCTTTAAAACCACAGGAGAAGCTTCAAATGTGTTAGGAAAGACATCTGGTGATGATGCAGGTATGTCTTTTGTAACATAAACCCAATACAGTGTCTCACCAGTTTAAGCATTCCCTCCACCTCCGTCATGGACCATATCATTTTAGTTTCATTATTCCATCATAAGGACCTAAATAGCCTTGTACTCATCACAAGTATAATTACAAATCTATTCCGCAGTAACAGGCTATTATCTTTTTTTTCTGCATCTCTTTTTGTACAGCGTCGGATGTATATATTCTTGTAAGATACACTTTTTTCTAAATATTTTATAATTGACAAGCCATCTTTATGTATGTGTACAGAATTATGATCAGGCTTATGAATGTTATTTCCACACCCTTTTGAAAGTTCAGGAGCCACTGACGGTGAACTTGAAGGCTCTTGGTCGAAGATCAAATATTGTGTCTTGTGAATTTTGTTTTGTGGTTGATTTTCTACACAGTGGTGAAATTTAAAGCCATTATGTAGTCTGTATTGAAGAAATAACTGAGGCTTTGGATCAGTATTTCTTACACTATCCAACATGGGACGCACACCTGTTTTTGATGGGTTATTTTGAGGTGTTTTTGTTGAGCCTGGATCCAATGAGTTGGGCCTGTAGAGTATCTGTTTTTTATCTCCTTGATTTTACTGTCATTTACACAGTGAAACACCAAAGATGAAATATTGACTTCTGTATAAAATACCTAACAAATCCCAACTGACTATTTGGTATTAAGAGATTATCTATGATTTAAAAGTTAGAGATAGGCCAATATTATTATACTGTAAAAAAAGATATGAACTAGACCAATCAGACATGTGGAGGCCTGAAGAATCTCCCAGAAATGATGTCTCTCGCAAATTGAAACAGAAATATATGCAATTTAAATTTAAAAGAAACCTTGTATGTTTGCTTTAGACAGAAGAAATAATTGGTGTTACCTTCAAATGTGAATTTGTAATTTGCCCATGTTCCATATACCCTCCTTCGTCCGATTTTGCCAAAATGGCTAACTTTGTTATTCTTATCCTCTATTATATTTACTCTTGAATGTTGAGGCTATTATATTCATTGAGTTTTCATTATTGACTTGATATAAATATTGCAGCTGGTTCTGTGAGAATATTTTAAACTGGAAAATTAACTTTCTGATGATGACTGTCGCATTGCTAAGTTGTTCATACAGGAAACTACCGCCGCCGGACCAGATAGCTAGCTAACATGGCTACAGTACATGGAAATACAGGACTATGAACTAATCTAAACACAATTGCTAGCTAACAGCTGTTTAACATTTCAGGACCAAGCTAGCTATAGCTGCAGTAGATGTTTTAGCTAACATTGCTAGCTAACAGCTAACTAGCGTATGTAGTAGAGAGGGTTGGTTAGCAGCAACACTTTTTCTCTTCATACACAGTTACTTAGCTGTGCAGTTTCCACATGAGATTAAAAAAAATGCACAAACTGTATTTCACACACTATAATTCAAATGATATGAAGTAAGAAGAATTTGTGTGGACATTAGTTCACGAACACTGGTGACCGTGTGGTGCTAGTGTCCAAATCAGCCTTTTGTTTAAACTCTCTTCTTTCCCAGCAAGTTTGTGTGAATTCAATTACAGATCCTTTGCTTTTTTAGGCAATAATGTAAATATTTGAGTACCATTGGTTGACCGCATTGTTATGCAATCATATAACCATGAGAGATTTGATCAGATGGGTTTTAATTTGGCTAATGTATGAATTCAGTCGTGTAGAAAGTGATACTTGGAAGTTCTAAGACAGGTTACAATCCTTATACGGTTACGTTTTAGCTCAGTACAGACGTTATATTTTTTTATTTTGAAGGCATTTTTTTGGCATAATCTTTTTATGGTTTTACCAAAAATATATTACTTTCATGTTCCATTCAACATCATGCATTACCTGCATCGTTCTTCATCCTTCTTTAAAAAACAACTTTTCTGCTTCAAGCTATCCAGAGTCAGTGTCACACCTAATCTATTTGTCACCGACAGTTACCGTTTGGAGACACAATGAGAACATTTGAGTGGGTTATTGGAAAACCAACTTCTCTGTCTGCTCCTGTGCTGAACATTTGAGCCAAGCTGCACTAATGATCTAGCTCGGTGACTCCCGCCTACACCTTCCACTGGTTGATGGTGTTTCAGGTCCGCTGTGACTCACATCTCCAACTCTCCCACTGACTCTCTTTCTCTCATTTTGGCAACATTTCTGCTCTTTGCTCTTGCATTCCCTCTGTTTCTCACGCTAACATCTTTCATCATTCTTTAGCTTTTCCTTTTCTTCTTCTCACATGTCAGATCTAAATCCACACCAAACATTTGTCACACCAGATTAAGAAAAGCTGCAGAGATATTTAAGTATTGGAGGGATAAAGGATGTGTTTTACTTCTAATTAATTAGAGGAAGAATGGGTTATTTTTGCTATCAACAAATAACATTATTTTGCGCTGCACTGACTGTGTACAAGCTGAGCAGTTTAGAGAACGTGTGTGTTTGTGTGGGAGGGTGTGATGTAGATGGCAACAGGTGTTCAGTTAGCAGGAATTCCTTCCCCAGGGGAGGAAGGACAGAGTTAGAGGAAGTAGATGGTGGTTTGAGTCAGGTGTCAGCTAACAGAAAGATATGGATGTTGCTTTTTAGATACATGTTTTGCTGTTGCCTACAAAACTTGAAAAAACGTGTTCAAAGCAATTCATCACCTCTGCCGAACCATTTGTGTTTTAGGGTTGGTTGTTTGCTTGTCTGCAGGATTACGGAAAAGGTACTTACCAGATTTTCATGAAACTTGGTGGAAGACGGTAGCATGGGGCGAAGAAGAACCCATTAAAGGTTGGAGCAGATCCAAATCCCATGGAGGATAAACACATTTCTTTTTTTGTTTTCCTTACTACTCGTGAATTGACAAAGGCCAAGGCCAACCTGCTTAGGCCAATGTACTCTAAAATGTAATACTTCCTTTTCCAGTGCTACACCTTTCCACTAAATATCAGGAAGATTGGGCCAGCAATTCCTGCTTACAAAAAAAACATTCCTACCTGAAAACATGAGCGGTTTCGCGGAGGTATAACGGTGCCACTGTTTCGAGGTGCCAAAATGTGGATTTAGAATTTGAAGTGATCGTTGGTTATGAGTTGAAAGAGGAATAGAAAGTAAGGATATGAAGGAGAGAGACTTATTATACACTTTTTAGGTGTGGATTTCTGCCTTCTTTGTTTCATCCATTGGCCAAATTGCTCTTTCTGATAGAACCAGTAGGTCCATGGTTATATTTGGTAATATATTATAGGAATGGTGGACAAACTCAGTAACGATTTAAAATAGAAACAGCTTGCAATGTGTAGTTTTATATGGCAATTGACACACAGGACAGCTGTGTTTCTTATAAGTTGTAAAGAAATCAAATATATTATATAAATATATATTTAAGAATATACATTCCCCTTAACTATTTCATTTACTTTCCGTTTAAAACGTTTTTTTATTTTTTGCACTGGACCCATGTCTGATGCATTATACACTGTAACTCCTGCTTTGAAATCAATCTTGTGTTTCCATGTAAAGAGGCAAAAGACAGACAACAATAAATATATTAAATGGTGTGTCGTCGTCAATTATTTTTCTGTATATCTACAACTTACTTCAACACTGACTCATCAGAAACCTTTATTTCACTTGACAAGTTTGTTAAACATGAAAGACATTACATTCTATTAAGAAATCAAATAAAACAACTCTTGGTTCTTATAATTATACTTTGGGACTTTTATTTAGGGAATTCAGAGGAGGATACTCAAGGATTATTTATTGTCTTGCCACACAGGGTTTCACAGCGAAATGCAGTTGTTCCTACAAATCAAATCAAGTTTTATTTTATTTTATTTATTTATAAAGCACATTTAAAAGCGATTTTTGGTCGAGCCAAAGTGCTGTACATGTAATAAAAACACATTACTACAATCACAATAAAAGACAATATATATAAAAAATAAAAATAAAAAAAACACAAGGAAAAGTCAGGAGTCGTGCTCCGCTCTAACTAGAAGGCCAGAGAGAAGAAGTGTGTACACTTGCGAAACATGACGCAACCGAACAGAACAGAAAGTACCAGCAGTGCTATTTCTGCAGTGCATTTTATTTATTTATTTATTTGCAATAGGAGGAATTTGAACAATGTTCACCTCAACACAGGACCAATTGGCTGTCGCCCTGTACGCAGCACAGACATTTCAGAACCTTAACCAGTCTTAACCATGTCAAAAAAAAATCCCAGGTCCCTGGAAATGTCTCGATTTTCAAAATAAAAGCAGTCAGATGGTAACAGGTGGCAGGATTGTGGTGTGCTGAAAACATTCAAAAATAAAATGAAGTTGAGTTTCTTTCTGCTTTGTCTTCCCTTTTTAATTATTATCATTTACATATTTCCAGGGTTGAGCAACTTCTTTTCAGGAAAAGCATTCTCTAGTTGTGTCTGCTATTTTGTCACGTGTTCTGGAGGCATGCTCGAGTGTGTAAATGGATGCTCCAGGTCAGGCTTGGGTTAAGGTCAGGGTTAGGCATGCATCAGTTAAGAGAAGGTTGACGCACTGAAGGAAATGGTTGCCAAACCCTAGAGGATACTGAATTTGCTATGGACATCGTTACCTTTCACTACTACCTCATGGTTCTGTCTGTGTGCTCCTCTCTGTTTAAGATTCGCTCTCTTTCAGGCTCTGTGTCTCTCTTCCTCTCTCTCATTTACAGAGGTCTCATCTCATGTGTCCACTGAAGACTCACTGGCACCAGGCGCAGGTTTCCTGGCTCCTGGCTCACACTCTTGGATTAAGTATGTTCCACGAGCCTCTGGGTGCCACACATCAGCCACAATGCGACACTATGTTTATGAAATGGTCTAAAACATGTTTTTTGTAATCCCTTCAAGAATGAAAAGTCTCACAGACGATCTCTTTGTCTTTTACACTTCCCCCTGGTTGATTAAGATTGATATTAGCTAACACGTGAACAAACATGCGCTTCAACTGAAGAAAGGGCACTATAATTGGTGCCAATGCTATGAAATCTAAACTTCCTGCCTTCTAAATGGGCACAGTGTCATGTATTTACATTTTATTTAGAATGACTTGGTACCTAGATATGCTTTTTACACAACTAAAGTATACCTGTATAGGATTACCAATATAAGTAAACTAGGGCTCTTACTAATGTAAATTGATATTAGCTTAACATTTTGATACTGTTTGACTATCCTTAACACTCTCTTGCTAGGGCTCCCAAGAGTGTGCTGCTAAAAAGTCAAAACAGACCAAGCGGTCTTGAAAAAAGTGAATTTCCTCCTGATTTATCCAAAAGCATGAATCTTAATCTATGTTTACTTTCACTTCTCTAATCAGGGTTAATAGTCTCAGACCTTCTGTAGTCTCCTAAAGAGGCTTAGCTGTGGTGAACCCATACAGAAACAGAAAATTGAGTTTTGTTGCTGAATCTCTTTTGTAAAACGCCCAGAGGTAAACCTTTTAGATTTCAACCTGTTGCCTTTGGTTTGGAGTTCTGCCCTGCGATGTGTTTGTCAGTGTTGACGAACACTATACTCCGCTCTAAATTTGCCCCTTTAGTACTTCTCCGACTGAACTCACCCCCCCAACCCCCCAGCCTCAGATATCCCCCCTAACCCCATTCCACCACCACAACCCCCCTCAACACACACACATGTCCCCGTCTGTGTGTAAATGTGTGTGTCAGTCAGCTCGCCCAGAGTCAGGAGCGACAGGCCATGACTGGCAGCACCACATAGCAAGTTAGCATTGGGATCATTAACACTTCTGCTGGATCAATACATGTGTTGTTGTTTTCTAGTTGCTGGGAAAAGACCAAGCAGGTAAGGAGAATCATATTTTGGTTGACCTTTTCTACAGGTGGCAAATGCAGTGAGTTAAAGAGGCATTTGGGCCTTTTTTGCTTCGTATCAACACTAGAATTGCAATATTTGATACAATCACACTGAGATCTATTCACTCTAGGCTGAAGACACCTGTCTAAATCAGCTTGCACGCCAAATATTTCGTATTTCTTACATAAATCTTCAAAGAAACTACACATCTGAGCAAACACGAAAATGCACCAATGGCACGTCCTGTGTCATGATTCAGACATAGCTCGTGATAGAAACTGCTCTGGTAAACAAAAAATCAAATGTTGTAATTCACTTGGTCGAGGGCCACAAGGTCCCTCATACTGCATGTTATTGATACTGGTGAATGAGTCTGCAGTCAGAAAGAAGAGGACAGCTGGGATGATCAGTCTGGAGCTATTTTTATATGCTCTGTCATGTGTCCTTTTACCGGAAAAAAATTGGAGTGGAAGACATTTTCAGAAATTCGATATATGCAAAGAAGGAAATTTGCAAATACGAAAATAAAACTATAACAGCTTTTCTGTCCACTAGATGGTGAGGTAGAGTTTTTCTAATGAGGTCAGCAGTATTTGGTCGAAGGTGGTCTAAACAAAGATTGGGACACTGGAAAAGAAAATCACAAATGCACTCGAAATCATGATGTTGACTGATTTAGCAGGTAAAAAAAAGTTTCGCAATATGCAGGGGGAAAATATTCAAATTGTAAATGTCTAAAATCAGAATATCATTTGTTTGTTTTTTATTTAAATATCGTGATCATTTGATAATCTGGCTATTGACACCGTTAGTAAATATGGAGCTGATTAGTATTAATTTGTATACTGTTGGAAAGACAGTCTTATTCCATCTTATTTCTATGTCTATCCATCTAGTCATTTAGCTTTTCTTTCAGTCATTGTGCTATATGTCAATCTGTTACATCCTCTTTGGAGTTATTAAAGGGTAGAAGTGAAACAAGTATGTCATCTAAGTTATAGCCAGCAGGGTGAGGCAACACAAGACATACTGAGTGGGTGGTGGGGGTGTGGGGGGGGGGGGGGGGTCACCATGCAAGCCTGGCATGCCTGTATGACGCAGAGTTCAGTCGCTGACCCGTGATTGGCTGACGGAGAGATCAGGTGATCAGGTCTAGGCTAAATCGGTCCAAGCAGACAAGTTGAGGAGTTGGGAGAATTGGAGAGATGGAGGTGGAGGGGGGAGAGCATTTCAGAAAGATTCAACTGAGGAAATGTAAAAATACGCTTACATCAAGTAAGAGGGATTCCTCTCCTCCGCATAAAAGTCTCTTTATTTACCTTAGAAATACAATTTAGAACCAAAATTAAAACTGCAGCAATATGTGAATCTGAAATCAAAAGTGGGGCCTGTAAAGAAAGGCTGTCGCCATCTTGGGTTTTGGAAACAGAAGTGACACAAGAGGGTGAAGTTTAATACACCCAAACACTGACTGAAAAGGTAATCTGTTGTATATTTTACTCTAAGTGAGACCATAGTTCACATTATGAATACACCAACACATAAATGAATATCATCCTGTGTTGTAGAAGCCTTTAACTAGTGATTGAGTCCATAAACTCATTAGAATTTTTTTTAATAAATCAATCATTCAAGTGAGAAGTATTCTTCTATACAATCGGCCATCTTGTTGCTACCAGTAGAGTAGCCCCCTGTGGGATATTACAGACAATGCAGGTTTGAAGCTGTTCTGCATGGGCTTCGACCTGGAGGTTTCCGGTTGGTATGGAAAGAACATCTATCTAAAGACCAGATTAAAGTTACCAAGGTATCGCTGAAGGGATAGAAATGTCAGTCTGTGCGTCACTTTGGTCCAGACTCCAGGTGGAACAAATAATTGCCCGCCTTAAAACATTTCTGAAGACATTTATGCTACCCGTGTTAGCATGCTGACATTAGCATTTAGCTCATAGCACCACTGTGTCTCAGTACAGCCTCACAGAGCAGCTAGCATGACTGCAGATGTTTAGTGTTGTTGTTAAAGGTCACCTATTATGCAAACATCATGTCTTATACACATAAACATGTGTCCCCCGTGGGGAGTGGCTCCTTATTTTCATCTAAAGTAACAGACAGAGAATCAGTACTTTTGAAACAGGGCTGAAACAGAGGGGATTATGGGATGCTACAATGATCTGTTTGGTGTTTGGAGCCAAACTCTTCAGAGACATGTTTTGTATATAACTGAGAACTATATTATATTGATGAAAAATATTGCTTGCTATTTATGTCATTATTAGGTAATGAAGTGCTTAAATTAAAAACGTATCTGGCAGTTCAATGTTTAATGTTACTAAAATTACACATTTCATTTTATTTTCATACATTTCAAATAAATTCTTCCCAATTATTCCAATTTTGTACAACCCAGAAATTCTTTATACACAGTGCATAGGTCTGCTGAACATGCGGAAACGTAAAATGTGTCCAAGGGCAATACATAAAGGAGTAATAAAGTAAAACAACAGAAGAATATGTATTAGATATTTACATGCATAAGGCTGCTGTCACTGGAAAACAGTTTCACATTGTGCATGTATTTGTTCACTGGATAAAAGCTTCCTGCAGTTTCTGATTTTATTGTTCCATGGATTTATTCTGATTCCATGTTGATCAAAGAAGAGTGCACAGATGTATGGAATAAATGCTCACTGCTATATTTCCACACTAGCTCTGCTGCTAGAATATAGTGCAGTGCTGCTGCTGCTGCTGCTGCTGCTAAATCTGTCCTGAGGACCCACGGTGCTGTATGCAGCTGGAATTACACAGTGGGTGTTTTGTTTAAATTTAACAAGGTGGATTGTGGGTAGGCGTATGTGTTGATTTCCTCCTGTTTCCCACCTAAAGCTTGACTTCATCGACCATAATCTATGTCAGAAACTGTCAGTAGAATTCAGGACATTTTAGGCATTAGAAAAGACTCAAGTAAAGAACCTCAAAATTGTACTGTATGCATAACAAGCTATATGTATGGATTGACAAACCAAAATAATTCAGGCAAGATGACATTTCTATGGCAACGGCTGACTCATGAATCATCTTGCAGTGTTTTCCTCAATCTCTCCTCCAATCCTCCATCAACACTGTCAGATCCTGAACAATATATTGTGTACAGTAGAAACTGAATGATGATGCTCTCCATTGTGACTCATCCTCATCTTCTCTGAGAGCAGGTGGCTCTGCCTTCAGAAACAGTAAACTGAGAAGTGCAGGGGTGATGAACATTGTTGTTAAAGATATCCGCCCTTATTCTTTAGTGAGATATAAAGTTATGCACCCTAGATCAAAAAAGGTCTACTGCAATAGCACAACATCTGCTCATTCACGCAAGCTGGAATTGTTTTGCACCATCACAGGCACAACATATTAGAATTTTAAACTGAAGTCAAAAGGATCCATTAAAATCCTGGAATTTGTGTACGGAAGCCCTAAGAGGCAAATAAGACAAATAATTTGAGTAATCTTTTTTCTAAGTCTGATTTATTTTCTTGTTTTTATGTTGTTTCCTAGGTTAATGAGTTAGGAATAGGTGAAAAACAGTTTTGATAGGTTCACTTTTTGATAAGCAAAATGTTTCCACCGATGTACTTCTTGATTTTTTAACAGTATCATATTTCTCTTCAAAAACAAGCTAAATATACTCTCTATTTACGAGCACGGGGAAATCAAAACTATTTAAGAAGTAAACATTGATGCTTTGAGTCCGAAACAGAACATGGAGTAGTGGTGCACTTCAGCCTCTTGTGGTCAGAATAAGTATGACAACAACAAACTTTGGATCATGATAAAATCCGTTTTTACCTGTTCCTAAATCATTAACATGAGAGAAAACCCTTTCGAACGGACGTATAAATGACTCCACCAGAATTATTTTCTCACTGCCTTTCAGGGCTTCTGTTTGACATTCATAGAACATAGAGCATAAAGGTCCTGCTAATTTTAAACCAGAGGCATGTACTACGAATCCAGTTCAACATACCCTGGATATGTTTGAGTTACCTGGCTTAACTAACCCAAAACCAACGCGATCTCGCTAAGCGGTCCTACGACGCTGGTTATCAACTCGGTAACTCAAGCCAGGGTTTCTCTGTCCGGCTGAGTGCGCGTTCACATGAAAGGGGCGGGGTTAGCAACATTTGACCAATCACAAACATGGACAAGCGTACTGACAGCGCAGCATCATACTTCCTGAATGAGAAGAAAACTATAGAGTGGCGAAGTCACGCCCATCTACTTCCGGCCCATGGGACCTTATTTCCGAAAAATAATGTATTGAAGTCAATGGAGAGAGAAAACTTATCTTTCGATCCCGTTTGAATTGTGCCATGAATTACACATATGATGTTTGTCAATCTTAAAAAATCATTTCCATGTCAAAAAAGTCACAGTTTGTCGTAAAACTGTTGAAATATAAGACTATGAAAAATACGCAACTAGAAAGACTACAAATCCCAGAGTCGCGTAAGTGATGTCACTCACAAACTCACAATTGTTTTCCTCCACTAAATATAAGAGATAGCTAAGATAAGATAACTTTAACAAGATGCCTGTGTGCTTAGTACCAGGTGGTTATCATACCAGCAATGGGTCTTGCTCGTTCTTTCGCTTCCCGTCTGATGAAAGGACCAGGAGTGGCTGGATCAAGTTAGCTACCTAGCTAGTAGCAAGCACGTTAGTTAGCATTACAGCCGGCTTAGCCTTGTCATTTTTATTAGCCTTAACATGAAGTAACATTAAGTAACCCAAAATGTTAAACAGTAAGAGTAGTAGTCATATTTCGTGAACCCTTTGAAGAGTACTGTCACACCGGTGTGATCATTCTATAATACACCATTTAAGCCCGGGGGAGAAATGCTAACGCTAACGCTACATTAGCTTCGGCGATCTTTTCTACTTCATGCTATCTGCACAAATGGTTGACATTAAACATTAAAAAGATCAGGCAGTTC